GTGAAATCGTTTTTTTCAAAAAAATCCGGATTTTTTACGTAGATCGAAAAACCGACCCCAGTACGTTCATAAACTCATCGAATAGTGTCTACAGATCAAAAATGAAGGACTTTTATTTTTTGACTGTGGCCGCCCAGTGCTCGATATTTCTGGACAGTCGCTCGTAAATCCTATATCATAAAAGATATAAAATTGTACTTTATTTCAAATACCAAAGTAAGTCTTTTCATGGCAGGGAATGTAGAAAATGTCTTATTAGCTGAAGTAACAACAAAAATGTGGAAATTTAAGGTCTTAAGATAATTCTTGACCTAAATCTCCYAATAATACAAAACATTTAGAGTTGCTATGGCAACATAATACAGCATTGTGTCTATATGCTTCCTTAAAAGCACCACACTGAAATGACACTGAGAGACTTTCTAATAGATATGGCATAAGCCTCGGTAAAAAATAAATTCTTCGTTTTTCTAAATATTCTTACATGAAATATTTTTCTCCCAAGGCAGCTGAAAAAACTCGCGAACTCTGACAGAGATTATGTATTTTAGTACAAAAAAAAAGCTTATCTAACTTGAATATAAGCTTATGCGTGTTGTTCTAAAAAGGTGATAGAGGTATTCTATATAAAGCCTACCTATTTTATCTTTCTTTTCCAGAGGCTTCAAATGAGAAGCAGCAACAATATCCTTGAACTCTTCGTARCTGCCAACGCGCTGCTCGACTGCTCGGAACTTGGCCGCATTTTCTCGTTTATACTTCTCGTCAGCTTCAACAGCTAAGTTGAATTCTTTCTCTAGCTTTTGAAAGTCGATTCCTTCGTCTCCATCCATTGTAAACTCTTGTTTTAAGGACGACTTAATACGACTTTTTGGTCAAATACAACAACTCTTATGAAAGAAGAGGGTCTCTTATGGAAGGTCTGGATCTAGACACAGGAACCCCAGCTAACGACAAAATTATTTTGCTCTCTTTTCTCTGTTTTTCTCTTTAGAAGTGTAGTTTCTATAATTATATACATTATTGAATGAATAGAAKCTCGTTTTTAATTTGTTACGAAAAAAATGTAATAACCCAAAATAAACCCTTAAAATATTGGTATTTTTCTAAATAGAAAAAATGGAGCAAAAATGTTTCTCGTGGGAGGTCTCCTGAGTAGACGTTTGCACCACTTCGGCCCAGAGATCTGCACACATGTGAAAGTAGATGCTATAAGCTAAAGACTAAAAGACTAAATGCAGTTTTAATGCAGAGCTGTGTTTCATAAGGTAAGGAAATTACTATTTATAAGGATAAAATGCCAAAAAGATACAAAATGTTTTCCTTGATCTCTCTCAGCTTGGTTTCATTGATGTCGAAGGGGAAGTGCTTGGCGCGCTTTTCTTGGCTTTCGCCATGGCGGCCTAAAAATACGATGGCTGTGCTTTTGCATCTATTTTGCCATTCAAGTCCTCGCTTTTACATTGAAGGACACTAAATATTAGTCTTTGGTCCAAAAAGAGTAAACCTTAGTCACTAATCAATGACTTTTTCGACTCAAAAGGGTACATACTTTGTTTCTTCGCGACATAGTGGCACTTGCTTGAATGAAGCGAGGCTTCGAAAGCGCGAATAAACTGCTTTGCTTTACAACAGTTGGCTTTGAAAGTACCAWGAATAAAAGATTTCATTATTTTTTCCCCGGTTAGATTGATTAATTCATACAAAAGTTTTGATAAAGCAGCAAAAAAAGGAACCAAAGTGAATGAACGTTCTCTGTCAACCAACGCGCCATCTTGTTTCACTGACCTCTCGAAAAAAAGGCCGTCCTCTCGATTCGTAAGAGAAAACTGTTGACTCTCACCCGAATCACAAAGCAAAGTAATTCCAGAATTAAGTTCTTGTGATTTCACCTCAACTTGGTTGACTTTGAAGGGTTTGTAGGAATGGTTTGTAGACGCACTTTCTAAATACAGTAAAGAGTGATCCGAGCTTCTACACGAAGTTCTTATCCGACGAAGGTACTTCATGAGGGATGAAATACGAATTTAGTGGYGAAAAGCTTAGTAGATTTTTTATTTTGTTTATTAAAGTCACGAACGTATTTTAAGCATGATATATTTTGGTCCTAATATTAAACTGTAGATTTTTTCAAGACTTTTACAATAAGATCTTGCTTTGATGATATTCATCAAAACCTCATGGTAGACATGCATAGAGAGGGGGATGGGGTGGTGTGAATAGGGGTATGCAAATCTATCAAGCCGTTGAAATTAATGTCTGAATCATGGTTATTATTAACTATGTCTGAATCCATCAATCTTCAAAAAAAAGCTCAAATCTGAATCCCCAAATAATTTGACAGCTGTCTTGTATGTTTGTCTTGACTGACAAAAACAAATTAAATGAAAAATGTTAGTGGAAAATATTTGTTAAAATTCATATTAAAATTCATATTTTTCACTTAATTTTTTTCGTTTAATTTTTTGATTAAAATCTTGTACAGCCTTGCAGTTTATGAAAATGATGTTGATATTTTGCTGTTCAAGCAGTGTCATCCATGCCATTCCAATAAATAATAAATTAAGCAAGAATGCTGCCACTTACAACATGTTTTGTGAACTTTATTGTATTCCATTTATTTGTTTGTTCATTCATTCATTTATGTATTTATTTATTTATTTCTTACTTCCTTCCTTCCTTTCTTTGCTTGCTTATTTATTTATTTATCTGCAAGTGTAGCAGCATTTCCTCATGATGAGTGACTAGAGGAACATAAAGAAATCATATTGAAAAAAAAAACCGCAAACGATTTCATCATTATTTCACTTACAGTTACAACTTACTTGAAGGTTACTGTAAATGTATTTTCTCATAATGGCCAGCTTTTAGTAATATAAATTACTAGTTACAACAGGGCTTCTGACAGAATGCGGACAAAAAGTTCAAACTATGTGGGATTTCTCCCAGGATTATGCAGAAAGAATGGCAAATTATTACTTGCGGAAGTGGGGGGGGGGGGGGGGGAATGGGGGATTACACAATAGCAAAAACAACAAAAAAACACTTCAGTGTTCAATAAATTTCTTACAATAATTTTGTTCTTTTTTCATAAATCTACCATTTTTGATCATTTCTTAGAGTTAAGTATCTAGATCTTGCATAAAATCTGTCACCACTGCCACCACTTTAAAACAAACGAGCAAAGAATTACGCTAAATAACAATAAACTGGTGCCATCTTGAAAAGTACTAGTTACCAGACCCCTTCACGACTTCTAACTAAAGCCACCTTGTAGTTTTTACAATAAAATTCAAATGCTGTGTTGCTTCAAAATTTTGCAAGTAACTTTTAAAATATTCCTTTTGGACCAARATCAAGGGATTTAGGATACATTTTCTTCGTTAAGTTTTCTTTAGATTTTGGACGAATTATGCAGGACTTGTACTTATTATGCAGAACAAAGTAAATCATGCGGATCCAATCAGCGCATTCTGTCAGAAGCCCTGTTACAACAACCACACTTAAATGATGTCATAATCATTAACAAATTGAAGGTATAAACCTTTATGACTTATTGACGCAGCTCTCTATTCAACTATTTACTTATTGTTGAATCAATACTGAAAGTACTGAGTTAGGGCTCATATACAGTTTTCTTTTCTTTTTCAGTTTAACAGCCTTCTTCAACATGTACTATCCATTTTCTCTTGTGGTTCTTTTTTCTATCTGCCTTCACCAGTACCACTGTATTACAATCGGAGACGAAGAACACAATGTTTTACAGGAAATTGTCCAAGAATTTGAGAACTCACCGACAGATTCCAGATATGACCATGTCATTTACTTGCCTATCGGCCAAGCTCACATTGTTCCAAAAGTCTTTATCTGGTGCCCAATGAAGCATTTTCAAATGCCTTTGAGATGTCCTGTTGACAACTACCCATTGAGGTTTAGAGGCTTTACTAAATCATTGCGAGTGCATAAGAACAAGGAACGTTCACCAAGACTAGTGTATGACATTGGGGGCAATATTCTTCTTGTGCAGTCTTATTATGTGTGTGCTCTTGAAGATCAAGATAAGTGTCATGGATATTTATCAGCAGCTTCTGAAATCATGGAAAAACTCCCAGTCAACGTGGCCCAGAAGTTACCTCTTTTTCTTCACTACAAAAGTGGGTTTTCCAATGACTTTCTGGATTTCCTGCTTGTCAGCTTAAGTCAAGGACACACCTTCCAAGAGATCTCTGAGATGATATCATCACTGAATTATCGCAAGTTTGTGCAAAGAAATAATCTTGCTGGGGTGATAGACCTTGCGAGAGATTTCCACGACAATATTCTTTATTCTACAAGCGGTAGTGATAAACTGATGCATGTGTTTTTGTGGGACTTTGAGAAGAACAACAAAGCATATGAAATGCACTTGAATAACATTCCTTGTAGTACCCTGGTTTGTGATAGTTCATTTAAGTTGGAAAGAAAATGTAAAGTCAAAGGACCAACTACCTCTTTAATCAAGAATATGCATCTTGATAACATTTTTCTTGGCTTAAATGAAAATGGAGAGGTAGTCATGTGGAAGCCTGTTGATTCATCAAACTTTGAAGAGCTGAGAGACATTCTTGTAGCATTTAGAGACAGGTTGAAAGCAAGTGAACAAGAACTTAATGCTGTCCTTGTTCCTAACTGTTGTGACATGAGAATGATGTATCAACAAATCTTCCCAGAAGTTCAGGTTAAGATGGGAATAGCACATGCTGTCAGGAGTGTGGCAGAATCACTGCCTAAAGACCATCCTGATACACAAGTCTTTTGTTGTAAGCTATATCAAATRTTTAGGAACTCTCAGGATCGGGAGGAAGAACGAAAGGAGGAATCTACGTCTCCTCTTGAAATCGAAGCCAATCTTGACAACTTGTTGACCAATTGGAGAAGCAAACTTTTGGAACCCACAATGGTTGCAATTGACAGACTCAGACGTCACATCAGGCGAGGGTGCTTGTCAGGGATTCCTCCAGGAGAAGGCACTGAGAAGTTTGACAGCTTACATAGACATATTCAGAAGTCATTTCTGAGTCGTGTTACAGTTGTCACACCAGAAATGGCCTTTGCTATTTTTACGTGCTTGATTTATGCCTGGAATTGTAAAAAGCAGATCAAGAGTCACTACAAGGGCAGAAAGGCTGTTCCACTTGTTCCTATAGAAGCACACAAGAACCATCCTAAGCCATCATCAGAGAAACCTGATCCAATTAAGCTTAACATCAAAGCCTTAGGAGACCAAAGCGTAGAACCATTGATTATCGAATGTTCTCAAACAGGTGATGATTCCAATCCAGTCACCTCGATGCTGGTAATCACACCAGATGTCGTAGAGTACATGTTCACAAGACTACTGCATATCCTAGACCTGGTCCATGCATTCAAGATCAAGTGCCAAAAGGCCTTCAGTGTTACAGATTTCCCTATTCTCTCCTCTACGTATGGGATCTCTTTTCATCAAAGGCTTGTTGTTGAGGCAACTGAGCAGGAAGCAAATGCCCAAATCCTGCGAAAGAACCTTTCTGACTTTGGTTTGCAGATAGACAATGTCGCTGGGGATGGTAACTGTTTATTTAGGAGTATCATTCTCCAAGTAAAAAAACTAGCTCAGGTTTCTTCAGAGCTGCAGCAGTTTTTAGTATCCATCAAATTGGATAAGTCTGTAGAAGAAGACACAGCACATCTTCGAAAACTCTTTGTAACCGAACTTCRAGACAGTTTAGCTGCTTATAAGGACTGGATTGACATGGAGAAAGTCAATGTGGAAGAAGATTTAAAGAATTTTCAACAAAGTGGTTTTTTTTCCAGTGACATTGGAGATTTGTGCGTGAAAGTCTGTGCCAACTTACTGCAAGTTCCTATCATTGTTGTACCTTCCTTGCCTAACGTCAAGTTTTTCCCTTTCCTGCCAACTAAGTTTACATCAACTACACCTATATATGTTGCTTATAATCACACTGGTCCAGGGCACTACGATGGGACAAAGGGTAAGTACTATAGGAGAATACCTTTTGGTATGAGTCAGAAACTAATTAGCAATTGGTTCTCAAGCCCTTCCACCTCGTGGTCTATTGATTCATAGGCCATGAGGGCGAGAGGACTAATTGTTTTAGTCGAATCCAACTAGTTGGTCAAATATATAGATGCAAAAAAGTTTTGAATTAAAGTTCAATTTAATGTTTTGGTTTTCAAAGCCAGCACTTTTCGCTACTAGTAGGATATAACTTATAGCCCAGTAGTAGGTCATCCAATCAGAACGCAGCATTGATGATAGACCACTAGTTGGATTTGACCAACACACAATACCTACACAGTGTTTGCTGTAAGATTAAAATCATGGGCTTCTCTAGCATTGTACCCAAACAAAATTTTTCATAGATATTGTTAAGTGCAGTATGTGCTCACAGTCACATATAGTACAGCTTCTGTGTGACTATGCAAGCAGATGTCTATTCTTTCCAGCACTTTTTTTATGAAATCTTTAGTTTTTTGTATAGTACTAGTTGCTGTGATGCAAGCTATTGTCATTACTATGCAACTGGTAATCATTTCGCTGATGAAACAAATAAATTGTGATAATGGTTAGTAACTTGACATCCCAATGCTAATGTATGTAAACACCAACTAGCGCTATAGGACAAAATTTGGTTATCAAAAGTTTAATGCATGATGGTGCTCCCTTGAGGTTGTTCTGATGCCTCCTTTCTTCCCTCCCACCCTTTCCTTCTTCCCTCCCACCCTTTCCTTCCTCCCTCCCACCCTTCCTCCCTCCCTCCCACCCTTCCTTCTTCACTCCCAACCTTCCTTTCTCACTCCCAACCTTCCTTCCTCCCTCCCACCCTTCCTTCCTCCTACCCTTTCCTTCCTTCTTTCATGCCCTTCCTTTTATCTCTTCTTTTTTCCTTTAGTCCACCTACACTCCCATCAAAATTGCAAAATTCCATCAGTCCATCCTTGCATCTATCCTTTTATTCAAGAACCTTACATTCCTTCAGTTACTTACTCAATTTCCTTCTTAACTTTACCCCTTGGGTTGTATTCTATATAGAAATAACAGCGCTCACCCGTTCAAACACGAAGTGCAAGTGTGGCCGATCCTACAAGTACAAATCCGAAGATCCTTCCTCCAAAACCTTCTGTGGAGAAGACAGCAAGTGCCCGTGTGCAATGGCCAACACCCCATGCATTGCATGCCAGTGTTTCAGCTGTGACAACAAACCCACCGTAGACTCTGGCATATCTTGCAAGTGCGGGTTTCGTAGATGGGTTCGTAAGCGCACAGTGCATGGTTCAGTAGATGTGTCTTGTCTTAACAAGGAACGAGCAACCTGTGTCTGTGCCAAAGCCGGGCTGGAGTGTAACCAGAACTGTATTTGYCAAAACTGTGGGAATGGCAAGCCTAAAGAAGAACCCCTAGTGGAAGACAACCACGAAGACACTCCCCAGAAAAGAGCTCGCAAGGGAATCAAACGCAGGTCATGGGGAACAGATCTCAAGGGTTCATCTTTCGAATCTGAGGAGAAGACCAACAGCGAATGGTCAGAACAAGAAGTGATATGTTTGATGGTTTGTAGAGAGGTTCTGGAGGCGTGTAACGTTGAACAGAATGTCAATAATATCAGTCAAGTTTACCGGTACATCGCTGGCTCCAAGAACAATAAAGACTTGGGTTTGTCCATAAGAAGCAAGGAAGATTCCGATATCCATGCAAAACTGTCGTTCTTGCACTCTATCAAACCCGCCAGACTGTTTATCGCTACGGTAGAGACTAATACACAGGTTGAATGAACTGTGTACCGAGTGTTCTAACCCTCCAGACTGTTTATCGCTACGGTAGAGACTAATACACAGGTTGAATGAACTGTGTACCGAGTGTTCTAACCCACCAGACTGTTTATCGCTACGGTAGAGACTAATACACAGGTTGAATGAACTGTGTACCGAGTTTTCAAACCCACCAGACTGGTTACCACAGGAACGGCGATCGATAAATAAGTTGATTGAACCGGGTACCGATAAGAACCACGGGAAGGCATTTCAAGAAGCTTAAATCTACCGAACTTTTTCTTTTCTTTTTTTYYCCCCTGAAATTTACAGAAATTCAAGTTTAAGTTATCGAGTTTGGTATCAAACTGCAATAGTTCTGAACAGTTGTCATAAGTATTATCACAGTGTGCAGTACACAACATTTAGATTCACGGCAGCCATGTTGTGGTGCAGGAACAGGGAAATGGTATTGTAAAGGCCGGTTTAGACGGATACGATTTTCGCCTACAACTATCGTATACAACACGCTCGCGCCATCCTACAACTCGAGTCGTAGCGTGCAAATCAAGCCTACAACTCACCTACGACAGACGCGAGCGTGTTGTGTACGATAGTTGTAGGGAAAAATCGTACCGTCTAAACCGGGCTTGAGAAAAAACATTTTACTTTCCTAAAAAAAACATTCTGTTGCATCTTACTACATAATGGCTGCCTTAAAACCCCTCTACATAGACCTTTTCAGCTTTGGCATATGTTTTTTTTAATATCTCATATCTTCTCAAGCGTTATTGTTAAACAAAGGTCTCGTATCTTGCCTTTGAATATTCTCCTTCATATATTACGAGCGTCRAAGCAGATTATATCCCTTATATTAAATCATCTAAGGCCTCGGCCACAAGATATTTTTGGTAACTGAGATACTCTTGAAGATCTTGTATGTTAGATGTGATTTTAAGGCAATCGTGATCGCCTTGGGTATAAAATGTTTTAAAGGTACGTTTTCAAAAATTCATTCACAAGTGTATATTTTCTATTTCATCGTACTTTTATTAAAAACCTGTCATTCTTCACGCACAAATAGCCTGATAACTTGATCAACGAAAATAAATGACAAAAGACGCTAAAGAAGAGTTAAAATGTTACCCTGTTTTTCCCAGAAAAAATTCTGTTTTATGGATGCATACTTGGGAATAGATGATGGTGCAGCATATAGCGTTAGGTATATTGCTGCACCATCATTGATTCATTACCAAACAATTGTCATCTTACAGGTCCCTATTTAGAGGGGAAGGGGCGGGGCTTATTTGTATCCACCACCTCTGGAAGAGAAAAATCTTGGATTTTGTCCACAGAGATTCTTTAAAGTCAAATCACAAAAACGAAAGGGCTGTCYGTTTGGGGTATTTACCGGTACCCATGGACACGGCTTTTAAGAAAACCGCTTTTAAAAAGACCGCTGATTGGCTAATTTAAATCTCAACTGAGGGTGCGCATTATGGTTTTCCGCTGAATTTATTGCAGGCGCCCGGGTCAAAATGGCGGACGAGGAAGAGCTTCTAGTCGATGCACCACCTAAATCAATAAAATCGGTTTCCAATTTTGGACCATTTCTTGGACGTTGCTCCTACATAAGAGTTGTTACGAGTGGTATGTCTCGCCGTCATTCTAATATAGCTTAGACCAATGTTTCCCTGTCTTGATCATAAACATAGCCCGGACTAGTCATAGCACGTCCAACCAGTAACAACATCTCATCGTCAGGAGCTATTTCGATTAGTTTAATAAAATCATTTGTTTCAGCTTCAACATCTGCGCCTGCCGTGATGAGCGCCGCCGCACAGCGGATATGACCGTGGTAGACAGCATCATGCAACGGTGTCCAGCCATACATATCATGCAGTTTCACGTTTACGTTACGAGACAATAAGAAATTCAGGCACCGGTAGCCTCCATCGATGGCTGCACGGTGTAACGGAGTGATGCCAAAACTGTTAGGTTTTTCTAGATCTAGTTCCTCATGCTTGGAAAGCAGGTCGCAGAGCTCGTATATATCATCACGTTGGATGGCATCATGGAGAAGCTCTTCGGCGTAGAACGACACCTTCTTTTCTGCTCAGTTGACTCATTCTTATAGAGTTCTCTAAGTGTATGACATCCTCTGGAGTAAAACTGACATTGTCATTTTCTTCATCTATTGAGTTGGTGACATCTTCGTTGCTGCAAAGACAAGTACCTCCATCTGTAGAATCATTAGATATGGTGGAGCTTTTTCTTTGGTGGTCGTAACCCGGTTCCATATCTCCTTTCAGCTTTCCACCCTGATAGAACAGGCTTCTCAGCCCACTGTCTCTTTTCTGTTTGATAATCTTCAGCGAACCAAACGGGTTATCCTGTCTAGTCTTTAGACTTAAAGGTAGTGTCCTTGTAAAATACAAACCATAGTCCACTTCTTCATTGTAATTATGGTTTTCAATTCCAGCAGATGAGGCACTTTTGGTCCTTCTTTCGTTGTTACCTCCCTTATAGTAGTCTTTTTCCCTTGTAATTTCTTTGGCAAAGGCGACTGTGGTGCTAGACCTGGAACGTTTTCGTTTTACAACCTTGTCAGCACTATTCTCATCCATGATAGCAAGACTTCAACAGCCTCTCAATCGGTTTATTAATTCATAGATATTAGTTTATCCTTGTGGTTAGACAAATCAGTTGCCTTGGTTTCCTTCAATTTATCAAGAGTTTGATGTCTCAAACTCTAATTAACSCCTCTCAACTTTTCTGCCATTCCTTGACGAGTGTACAAGCCATTAAAGCTCGAATTTGCAGGTCAATCTTTGGATAACCAAGTTGAAGTGAAATGTTATAACGATGGTAAAAGATTAGAGCTGTTTTGATTAAAAATGATCTCTTAAAAGTAAACACCAAAGACAATCCTAGTGTATAGTTTGAAGCCTCTTTTGCCAAACTCCGTATGATAATATCGTTCCTACAAACCAAGAGATATAAAAACTAACGAAAGTATCAATAATCGCTGCTATAATGTTTGTGGTCTTATGTCGTGGTTCTGAAGGAATAGAATTATGCTGATAACATTAGTCACATGACTGATACAACTCCCTCGGGCACTATTTCATAGCTTAACTTCAACAAAGACTTGTAAAAAGATTTGATTATCAAAGAAAAGGCAAGTGCCATRATGGGTCTAAAAGGTGATAATTACGTGATGGGCCATTCAATTAAAACTTTCACCTGATATTGACTGAACTACTTATTAAATACAAGTCTTCTAATAATTAATTTGTCGTTGGCGTTTAAGCATAAATTAACAGGTTATTTCTGCTTCAAGTCATGACTTTTTTCATTATTTCGTTCTCAGCACCATTAAGGCATGGCTCTTTTGAGGAARTGATGGAAAATCAGTTATTTATTCATATCTTTGACAGTTTATAATGAATCTTTCCCAATTTTGGCTCGTAGTAGTAATTCTTCAAGGCAAGCAATTACCACATATGTGTTACCAAGGAAACCATGTCACGTGACCACAAGGCCGCCATCTTGGATTTTTTAAACAAGCCTTTTGAAGTCCTATTGAAACTACTTCAAAAGTCCTGAAAAATCCATATTCCTATTTATATTTGCATAGCCTATATGGATCTAATTGGATATCTTGGAAATTATATTAAGTTTAATTTTTAGAATATTTTCAATTTTTTGGAAAAAATAGAAAATATTCTAAAAATTAAATTTTAAATATTTTCCAAGATATCCAATTGGATCCATATAGGCATTGTAAATATGAATAGTAATCTGCATTTTCATGACTTTTAAAGATGTTTCGGTACGTTTTCAAACGGCTTGTTTAAAAATCCAAGATGGCGATCTGGTTGTCACGTGACTTAGTTTCCATGGCAA